GTGGTGTAAGCCTGCTCATTTGTCTTCAGTCGTTGATATCAAAGGCTAAGTTCGGAATTTCTAGTAGAAGTTTAGCTTTTCCCCATAAAATATGCAGAGGCATGCAGGCACGGAGCATGTGGAGGAGTGGCAGGGTGGTTGAACAGGGCTAAGGCGCAAAGAGCCGAGGACGGAGCATTTTCGCCGCCGTGACCCCGTTGAGCTCGCCCACCATTTACGTGACTTCCAAACAACTTCATCGAACACTACATGTTAAGGTTTGTTGGGAAGGGTAGGAGAATATTTAGCGGATTTCAACTGCCAATCTTAAAATCAGAGCCTACGTTACGACCATTATCGGGAACGTTGTCATTAACTCCAGTTGGAATCAATTTTTAGATGGAAATCCGACAAAAAAGCGCAGATAAACAGGAAAAGTAGGAATATCAGAAACAATCAATTTTCGTTGGTGAGTTTTCAGCAGTATAGGTGCCAGCAGTTGCAAGCAATGCCAGCAGTTGCTGTAAACACCTTAAAGGCAAAGGTCGGGATTAGTTTGACCAAACCAACCCTTTCGGTCATGCCTGTACTTGGTTACGCACCCGTAGAGATGTTCCCACACTCAAAACCCGAAACGGCGCAGTAATAAGGCCCCAGGGCATGTACTATGCGCTATCGCCGCCTGGCCCCGCTACGACCGCCCACCTTGGGATGTGGTGCATGGCTGGCATAACGTGTGAAATCAGCTAGGTTGATTGCCGTATCAACCGATAGAACGACTGATATCTTCAGAAAACTTGTTTGTACGTGCCTCTTCCCCAAGCCAGCCTCCTTCATTGCTAGTGGGAAAGAGGGTTTTGTTAACGGCCTTGTCGACGGTTTTTCTCAGTTTTTTCTCCACTGTCGTTCCACTTCGCATCTCTATACTCAGTTTCAATCGCCATAATACCCCCTTATTGAGCCCGACTTTTGCCTTTAAGACACGCAGTTCTCCTAGCCCTGGCTTGTAAATAAATAAAGAAGAGGATGTAATAATTTTGGGCTTTTTAGGGTACTTCCTGCTTTTTTTCTTCACTTGATTCACTTAGCATCTAGGACTTCATATTTCAACAGGAAATTCCCCTCATTTTATCTCGGAGCTTGCTTTCAAATATGTCTTTTGTTTGCTAAGAGGAAATGCAAAGGAAATAGTTTACCTAATTATTTATAGCTATCAGACAAGTCTGTTTGAAAAATTATTTGTGAATAGAAAGAAAATGTGGAGGTTTCTAAAAACAGAACTCATGCACTTATGCACACTCGTATTTTGGGCACAATGGAGGTGCGCTTACCATACTCACTACTAACTATAAAGCGCTTCGTCTGTCGTCTCTCCGTCGTTCTGTATGTCTGTCACGAAATTCCCTAGCTCCTCGGGATCCGCCTGGAGGGACCGGGTCAAGTGTGGGATGGGTGGGCAAGGTCTCACGAAGTACAAAACACACATCAGCTAAGCGGAGCCCCGCCCACAGTGGGCGTGGCGTGCATCGGAATGAACTGCACTGACGACCAAGGGAGATGAGGTTAAATGTTAATCTTGGACATGGCCAGCACAAAAGTGAGGGGGTTTGCCACCAAACCTGTAACTCGGTTCTAAGAAGTCCCGGAGACTGGGAAAAAAGTGGGTAGAGGTCGGCGATGGTGCTGGGCGGGGCATGCACCAGTGTGGGCGGAGTCATCCACGAAGCATTATAACTCGGTTCCAGGAAGCCCATTGAGTTCGACTATGGAAGAGAGATCAATATCTGTAGGTGATTGGGGCGTGCACCTGTACGGGCGGAGTTACCCACGAAACATTATAACTCGGTCCCAAGAAGTCCTGGAGACCGGGAAAAAGTGGATCGAGTCTGTAAACGAGAGAGAAGTCATATGCCATTGGTGGGTGCGCGCAGTGATTTGGGCGGAGTTTGCCGCATAACTTCATGATTCGATTCCGAGAAATCTTGGAAATCGGAAAAAGCTGATGGAGGTTTGCAAACGGAGATCGACTGGCCTTAGCAAGCGGAGCTTGCACCACAGTAGGCGGAGTTCGCCACGACACTTCAGCCTCCGAAGCCTACAAATCAGTTTTTAGAACCCCGGAGATCGGGAAAAAGTGAATAGAGGTTGGCGAAGGGGAGAGAGTCGACTGTTCTTGGTGGGCAGGCATGCCCCAAAATGTTACCTGTTGTGGCCAGTGTTGCTGCCAGACTTACAACTCGGAAGGTGATCCCGGAAACCGGGAAAAAGTGGATAGAGACCGACGAAAGAAAGGAATTCAATTTTTATTGGTTGGTAGGGCATACATTAGAGTGGGCGGGGTTTGTTGTCTGACTTATAATTCGGTTCCAAGTGGTCCCGAAAAGCGAGAAAAAGTGAATTGAGGCTAGCGAAGGGAAGGAGGTGAACCCCCAACGATGGGCAGAGCATGACCCGAAATGGGCGCACTTTGCCGCTAAGCATATAAATCGCTGAGAGACAGTGCAGAGATCGAGAAAAACGTGGGAGAGATTGGCGAGGAAGGAATGTGGGTGGAGTTCACCAGGAGTTTTATAAATCGGTCTGTAGGCAGTCCACAAGACCGGGAAAAAGCGGAGAATGGTTGACGAAGAAGGAAAGGTCAAAAGCCGTCGATGATGGAGCGGATAGAATTTAGCTGAGAATTCAGATATTCGTAGTGTATCGGCCAAATTTGAAAATTTTCGCCGCACCATCCCATATCGCCGCAGAACTGTGTTGTGCGCGCAACACGTGCGGCGCCAACTGATATTTTCATAGTGCGCATGTCTACATGATCAGATATTTCAGTCGTTGATAGAAACCGTGTTTCACCCTTTTTTGAGGCTGCTTCTAGCAATTTCAATTCCGATTTTGCATAGGGAGTTCGATCTTGAAAGAACTGGAGCTTATGGAAATTGGTGCTCTCGTGGGTCTGGAAGTTGTGAATACATCCTGTTTCGTTTGTCTGTGGATGAAACGATGTTTACAGTGAGCAATGTCGAGTAGTTAGCGATACTGTCACCCTTCGAACAAGTCGAAAATGATGGGATAAAAAACAGTACACGTTATTTGTATGAGGGTCTTATGATTGCTGCCAAAGTAACAGCGCGCGGCGAATCAGAGTAAGTTTACGAGCTTCCAAAAAAGGTGTCAGAACTTATTGCACAATCTATTTGATAGAGCCTAGGACGTTAATAGCAAACATGGACCACCTGAGCTTCCTAAAATAGTTGTGAACCTCCATAATTGACAAAAACTTTTTTGAAACAAGCAAGCCGGAGTCTGAAGGGGTCTCCCTGACTCAGTAGTATAGTTCTCGCTCTGGAGGCAGTAGACAATAAGTAGACAGTACAGTAGACAACAATGCTCCCGGCCAGTACATATTCTTCTCCTCGTGGAAACGTCGGTGATTCGAGAGACTAAGGGTGCCTGGGATGCACTGGAGGCCGTCTGTCTACACGCCGCCGTCAGCGCATTCTCTAATAGCCTTCACTGGTGAAACTCCAGTTCGGGGGGGGGCCACTCCATTTTTTCTCCAATACTCAAGATAAGGATTAGAGGGCTCACGACACGTAATCGACTCATTTAAAGTAGACTTCTGATAAATATTGGTGTAATGGGTGAGAAACCCTGAAACGTTTTCACATTTCCGCCTGCCATGACCCAAGGGAACGGTCCTGGACCAGGAGAAAGGACACCTCCGCAAAGGGCTAAGGGTGCAGGAGCTCCAGGGTGGATCACCTGTGCAGAAAAGTGGATGGGATGTGGGCAGGTAGTGTGGAATGTAGGACATCCACCGGTCCTTATCAAAAGTACGCTCGAAATGAGTCGTTCACTTATTATCTTATCCGTAGTGTTCGATAGCCCAAAGAACTGCTCTCTAGTACTACGGATAAGATAGCAATGGAGTGCCCCCCCCGAACTGGAGTTTCACCCTTCCCTTTTTCAAAGGAGTTAGCACTTATTTGAAAGGCAGTTTCGGTCACTTGGAAGAATGAAATGACTTATTGTAATAAACTTGTCTTTTGGTCGTACAGATTTTCCATGACCATTTCTTCATGTTAGCATAATTTGTGGCCACCCTGTATACTGTCTATATCTCGCCGTCTCATTACAGGCTTGTCTGCGATTTAGGCCTGGTGGTCACC